GTTACAGAGATACTGCATTCACAAAGCCAAAACCATGTTTTGCGAGGTCACCGCAACGTTGACCTTTGAACTTTGACCTTTAGCCACCAATTTCTGACCAGTTTGTCCTTAAGTCTAGATGAAGCAACGTTTTAAATGAATTTGAAGAAATTCCCTCAAGGTTTTACAGAGACATTGAGGCCAAAATTGCATTTTGTATCTTTGACCACCAAAATCTAATCAATAACATTCCTTGTCGAATTTGAAGAATAATACCCTGCAAATAGCTGCCTGCAAATCACCTATCAACTCATTAACCACACGCAGAGGTTATATAACCCCACCCATCTTTCTGCAAAGCCCTTTCCCTCCAAACCAGGAGAACAAAGACAACCAAGAACCAGTAAGTTGGACTTGTAGTAAGGACTTTTCAAACCTTGTCATTTTATTTTGGCTAATGTTATAGCAGTTATTTGATAAGCCTTTTATTGTTGTTGTTTATTTGTATTATGTTTTATTAGATACCTAGGTTTGATACCTGAAAGTGAAGATAGTGGGTGCATGAATAAAGTAAGTGTAACATCAGATTCATTTACTTCAGTTTATCATTGTGCTGACGTTTGAAGTTGATATAATTGTACTTATTTTTCCTTTTTGTATTTTAATCTCATGTACAGAAAAATCATCCATCTATCCATCCATCCATTCATCATTTAAACCAGTGACCTAAGCATCCTGAACTGTGGAAAGAAAATCATTAGAACAGCTACTGGATCCTGTGTTTGAATGTGCGCTCCACAGTAGATGTTCTGCGGGCCAACACCACCACCTTCAATGTTGTTTTTTCATGCCTGTTATAGATTTTACAGCTCATTATGAAATAGAAGTGACTTTGTGGCTCTGAAGGTCTTCCTGTAGATGTATACAGCAAATTATCTTCTTCATGACTTGTGGAGTACATACTGTGTAGAGCCTTGATCTCTTTGCTCTCAAACGTCTCATGGACAAGATGTTGGAAATATTCCTTTGAAATATTGATGTCATGCCATCACATCATTTCTGCTGATTTCCCAGCGGCACATTCATGCTGTGAATCTCCCATTCTTCCAAATCACAAAGGTTTTCTATTGTCTTCAGATCCGGTGACTGGGAAGGGTCACTGAAGTTCACTGAGCTCATTGTGATGTTCATAAAACCAGCTTGAGGCGACTTTTGCTATGTGACATGGAGCATTATGCTGCTGGAAGTAGCCATTAGAAGATGGTAAGTTGCGGCTGTAAAGGGATGAGAATGGTCAGCAACAACACTCAGACTGTGGATTCATGCTGCTGACACCAAACTCTGACCCTACCATCTGCTGCCTCAGCAGAAATCCAGATTCATCGGACCAGGTTTTTCCAGTCTCTCCAGTGTTGATGAGCCTGTGTCCACTGCAGCCTTTTGTATATTTTTTGTATATTTTGTAAATGATATTTTCACAAATTTCACAAATTTGACCATTTATTGAACTGATGTAAATCCTTCTAATAAATTTTTAAGTAATTATTTTGGATTTATCTTTGAATCCATTATTCATTGTGATCAATCAGATGATCATGATGATTAGGAGGTGGGACTGAGTTTGGTTTTTTGTCTTGGTAAACATGTTGGAAACGTGTGAGAGACGGGTAATCAGTACAGTCTTTGACCTCACGTTAGAATACAAATGTTTATTATGTTGTTTGATGAGTAAATAAATCAAATGAAGGCAACAGAATGAGCGACTGAAGTGTTTTGATTTGGACTGTTTAACATGCGACTCCTGTCAAGGTGATACAGATTAAAAGAAAAGGAACAGGTTATCACACTCAGATTTCTGTTCTTGGCCTGACAGGAAGTGGAAACCCGATGTGGTTTTCTGCTATTGTAGTACATTCCCCTCTAGGATCCATATTTTGTTCACTCCGAGACCACAGCTGTAAAGAAAGGTTATCTGAGTTACTGTAACCTTCTCCTCTGATCTCTCATCAACCAGGCGTTTACATCCCAATAACTGCTGCTCACTGGATGTTTTCTGTTTTTCACACCACTCTAAGTAAAAACTCTAGACTGTTTTGCATAAAAATCCCAGGAGATCGTCTGTTTCAAAAATACTCAAATCAGCCCGTCTGGAACAATCATCACAATCACAGCAATCGTGCCACAAAGTCACTGAGTTCCCAATTTTTCCCCTCTCTGATATTTGATGTGAACATTAGCTGAAGCTCCTGACCAAGGGTGTAGGTTTGCATATGAATGGTAGGGACATGTCCCTACCAATATTTTGGGAGGACACAATTGTCCCTACCAATATTTGAGTGAACTTATTCACTTGTTTGGAGTGAAGTCCTAATAAATCATTCCAATGTGTTTCCCAAGAGGCAATGTCTCTAAGACAACTGATTTAGTCATGCTAGCGATTGATTGGCTGATCTGGAGGCTCATGTCATGTGAGAATATCACACTTGTACCAACGTCAGCAGCCTTTCCACTGTGGAAAAATGTCAACTGATGTTATTTAACCGTTAGCTAGTGTTAACTAGCAAGCTAAGCATGGCTTCTGTCTTCTGTAGGCTAGCATTCAGGTTGCTAGCAGGTGTAAACACAAAATAAAATGGATATATTAAAGCATGAGTTGAATTTTTGTTGAGAAATCCCATGAAAATGTCGCCATTAATGAATTATTTTGTCTGCTGGAAACACAGCAGCAGGCTGATGAGGAAACAGGTGCATCTTCGGGGTTTCAGGTGAGCTTTTAAAATGATAGTGTGATTAAATATATGGTATTATGTATTAATTGTAAATTACTTACTTACATTTAATGTAACTATAGTTCATTTATTCTGATATTAACTTGTAAGTTATTATAACACAGGATAATTTCTTAAAGTTTTAGTCTGTGATCTGATACTGCATAGTTTTATTCAAATGTAAATACATTTCTGAATGTAAAGTCAGATCTTATATGTTATTAAACCTTTTTGTTGACAGCATTAAAAAGTCCTGCTTGTTTTGGAAGGGTGGCAGGTTTGTTGTGTCTTTACCAGTGTTGAGACCAAACCTATGTCTTTGTTCCTGCCCTATACACAGCACTGCTGCCAGATGATTGGCTGAGTGGATACTGGCAGTAATAAGCACATGTGTTCCTGTGTTCAGTGAGTGTATTCGTTTGTCCCTATGTTCTGAAGAACAGAAACAAGAGGGCTTTCATTTGTGTTGTATGGTATGAGTAATTCCTGGGTGCTGCACTGCTGTACAAAATGTATGCATTCTTTCATATCACAATCCCCTCCAGCCTCTTCAATGTTTATAAAGTCAATGACTTGCACAGTTAAAATTGGCCTGAAATAGTATGTACAATACAAACTCTTTATGTGATGCAGAAAAATAAAGTTCAAGTAACGTCAGACTGTTTCTGCTGCCAGAAGGAAAGTAGTTCATGTCTGATGAGGTCAATCTGACTGAAATCTTGTACAATAAAAGACAACAGAGGGTTTAGTTTTTATTTCCTCACAAAAGTCTCATGTTATTCTGAGCTGCAGCAATGAAGAAGAGTAAAAACATTGTCCCTGTCAGGAATCCTGTCGAGATTAAAGAATCTTTGTTCAATTACAATGAAGCTATAAAAGTTATTATGTAGTTATTTAGTGTGATAAAATCTCTGTTCGTTAGAAGCCCTGTGTTATAACCACAGTGGACGCACACTGATCTATAAAAATGTCTGTTGCAGTTTATTATTTGTCACTTTATTTTAAACTCTTTTGTCCCTGTCAGGATCCTGTAGGATGATGACTCTGGTTTTTCAGGTATCCAATTGGTCGGTAGTTGAACTGTTGACAGGTTTTGATCTGATCTTCAAACTTCAGGAGTTCAGCATAGAAGTTACCGTGGTGATTTACCTTAATAAGAAGTGAACCATCGTCATAACCCTGAAAACTCAGGGTGAAACCTGAAGTTACCACGTTAATCTCAAATCCTGCTTCGTAGGTCAGGCCTCAGGTGTGCTACACATTTAAACACATATGACTCATACAAATTTGTGCACAGAAATACACAGAGAAAATGGCTAAGCTATCTCAGGGAGGTTTAGTGCTGAGAGGCTTTTCCTCAACTGGAGGACTTGATTATTTTTTTAACTATTACTTTATTGCCATTTTCAAACAGTAGCAGGTGATTAACATTACAGAACAGAACCAGCTTGAGAATGGGCTTCACCTTACATACATGTATATGCACCTGTACAAGGAGGACTTGATTTGAACCCCTCTGTCAACAAGCATCTGCTATGCTGGCTGAGTATCCATGAACATCATTCTGAATCCTTCAGTGATGATTTCTGCAATAAGATTCACATCAGGTGGTGCTAATTTACAATAAAGCTGAAACAATGAGCCTAGTATACATTCAATCAAAAATGGATTTTTAGACTAAACCCCAACATTGACCCAACTGGGAAAATCTATTCATAGCCAAACATAGGACTTTCTGCTTTCATACATTTTTACATTTTTTGCTGTACATGACCAGATAAATAGAAGCATCTGGCTTCAAGAATGAGAGCAGACCACCCTCTGCTGGTGGAACTCAAGTAATGCAGAAATAGGGCAGCATGGTATGTACCATCTTGTATGGGTGCTGTGGTATGAATGGTTATAATGCACATACAGTCCTGTATGCTTTTAGGGACGTTTGTGTGTTTGATCAAAGTTCAAACAATTAAAAATCTCAGTTGAATTAGGCTAATGTCCATTGTGCTGGGAGATTAATTTCCTTTTTTCCCCTTTTTTTAAATTGGAAAATTTACAAACAATCAGACATATCAGTTCTTAAATAAAACAAACAGATAAAAATTTAACAAAAAAGATTAAATAATAATAATAATGATAATAAAAAAGAACAAATGCATGAATAAAAAAAAGACAAATATATATCATTTAAGTGACAGACATCTTCAAACATTTCAGAATATAAATTGACTGAAATTTCCACGTTATGGGGCGTGCTCACAGCTGGACTTCCGTGAACTACACTTCCCATGGTTCTCTGCGCAGTTAAGGGTTACATGCTGCTTTCCTCATAGTCCGTGTTGCTGCTGCGATAAATGTGGTCCTTGAACGACTCCTAGCCCGGACGCCTTCGCGTGGCCCTCAAGGATGAAGAGTAAGATTTTCACTTGAGCTCATAACGTAACTTCCACGGTAAGTGTCGTCTGCTTTCTGCCCTCTGCTTTAGTGTGTTTTACTTATATGGTGAGTACTTGTTTCCGTTGCATGTCTGTGGGTTAGCAGTGCAGCCAGCTAACGGCTAATTAGCTAACGTCATGCGTCAGGAGCCGAAGTTGGCAGCACTTCATAGTCTGGCCTTAGCAAACCCGTCAGCCAGTCCCTGTCTAAAGAAGGAACACCGTCTGCTTTAATTAGATAAAAGCTCACTTTGCCTGCCGTTAGTCCGTGTCCCAGAAACGTGGGAACTAAAAGTTGCCTTCCTGTCCTTCAGACAAAACTGGTCAAAGTCAACTAGCCCAAAACAGATATCTGCGTAAAGTGCACACGAATTCTTATGACTTCCGGTTTGAACTTTTAAAGTAAACCGGGGCAAGTTCCAACTGTCGGCTTTTCCTACAGTCTGTCTGGGTACTTTTATTTTGAAGATGCATGTAATTTCTTCCTGTGTTACTGTGTTGCTTTCACACAGTATTTTTTTTAGCAACAGCGGGTTTACAACAGCTTTTAAAACGTCATTTGAGTGGAATTTTTGAACATTATTGAACTTCATGAAACTGACCCACCCGCTTGTTTTGCTGGAAGAGCCGCACTTATGCTTGTGCAATCATAAAACAAGGTATGTTTACGACCTTCAATCTGCCATGTAACCCGTGTGATCAATGAATGAAAAGGAGATAACGTTACAGCTTATGCATGAAGGAATTTAGGTCAAGGCTGTTTTTACTCAGTAAAACTGTTGGTTTGGTGGTTTCAGTAGTGTTTATCATAGATAACACAGAGGCTAACTTCACTGAATAATAGTAACACATAAATGTAGCAAGAATTGATCAAATACATTATAATTAAGACAATGAAGGCATTGCATTAAAGTTAGTAAGCAAAACATGGGGATAAAAATACAATAAAAAGATAGAGAAAGATAAAAAAAAAAAAAGAGGAAATACAGTTAGTCAAAAATTAAACTATTCAGCTGGCAGTTCATTACACACCTGACTAAAACCAATGCAGTCTAATACAACTGTCCTGAAATAAATCTTAGCTTCATGAAGATTATAATGTTCAGTTTGTGTTGAAAGTGTTTCAGAGAGACAGTTTACGTTTGTGTTGAATTGTATTGTGTCATACCGATTGGTGTTGTCCACCCCATTTATATCAGTGAGGATAGGCTGAATAACAGAAACACCTTTCTATATAATGTAATACAGTTCAGGCACCACAAACTACATCCTTCAAAATTATCATAGAGGTGAATTAACAACTTTCTATAACAATTTCAGTAAAAATGCACATTATAACCTACATGAAGGTGGAAATGATGCGGTACTCTTTTATTAGACTCCATCAGTTTTTGCTGGGTGTACCTAATAAACTACCACCTGAGTGTATGCTGTTCTGGTGATGACTCTCCATTTTCCGTAAGTGAGCTGTCCAGATTTAGGAGTGACCTAACCAAAGATAAAAAGTTGCATACAGGCTTCTGAATGATCAGAGGTAATGTCATAATTGATAAAATGAATAAACATTTGAAATCTGTTTAAACAAAGTGAATATGTCAACATTGAGGATAGACTACACATTGTTTAGACACTGACCACATTAAGTCCTTAATTTTAAACTGCACTTGAAGTGCTGCCATGTTTGCACTCCATAGATACAGTCAGGTCATGCAAAGTTCAGAGTACCAACCCAGTCATCACTCTGATTTATGCACACACAGTAGACTGCAGGTATTTCTAATATGTTTTACTGCCTGTGAGAAAGAGAAATGGATCAACTGCAGTGTTCAAGTTATTTAGCAAAGTTAATAGAAGTAAATGAATAGTTGAACAATTCCAGAAGTGTTACTGAAGTGCTATGGGTAGATTAAAAAAATATATGTATTATTGTTTTTTTTCATTTTGCCAAGTTTGGTAACATCAAAGGAAAACTTAAAAGTCATGTGTTCTATGAGTGCTCATCATGGCATAGATGACTTTCCAAAAAGATCCATTTGGTTCTCGTCCTCACACCTTGATCAGTTGGAGTGAATTAAAGAGCGAGAATAGAGCTGAAAAGTTTAGGCAGTTAATAGATCAGTCCATCGACAGATGATTAAATAATCAACCACTAAGTCGTGTTTTTAGATAAAAGTGGGTTTTTTGGCACGTTTTAGTTCACAAATATCAACATTTGATGGTTTTCTTTGGGACAGTTTTTCTTTTTAATTAAATGTGTTAATTATTTCAAACCTCACTTTAATCCTTCATGATAATAAAGAGAATATTTTGGATACTTAGTGGGACCAAACAAGCAGCTCAAAGACATGACTTTGATGGATATTTTCTATCGCACTATATTATCACATATTTTATTTTATATTGTGATTATTAAAAATGATTAATGATGAATCAAGGAAATAATTGGCAGATAAAATGATAACAAAAATAATGAATAGTTGCCACATTAGACAAAAACAAATATATAATCATTAGAGAGTTTATACAAAGTGTTTTTGTTTTTTTGTCTGACTCCACAGCCTGTGGTTGAACATCACAGCAGCAGAAAGCAGGAGGGGGAGGAGAAGAGGAAGATGATAATGCAGCACATCCTAACTCATGGGACACTGTGGCGGAGGGCAGTGGTGCGCCCATTGCTGGTGGGCGTCACTGTCCCTGAGCCAACAGTAGCATTGTGTTGCTGTGCCCTCCGTCTGACACCACCGCCACCTACAGGCCGCCACTGGCTCTCAACCTCAGCCTCCAGCAGGGCGGCACATCAGCCAAAACACCAGCCCCCACAAGAGGAACCACACTCCAGCTCCACACCTCCATCACAGGATGTCCAGAAAGGGCAAACTGTGCCTGATGCTGTAGAGGTGGACCCTTTGCAGGACAAGTCCATCGGCCTATTCCAGAGGTTTAAGAAGACCTTCAAACAATATGGGAAGGTGATGATCCCTGTACATCTGGTGACGTCCTCTGTCTGGTTTGGAACCTTCTATTATGCTGCTATGAAGTGAGTCTACTTCCAACCAGGGGTGGGACAGAACACTGCTAGAAGGGGAGGGGGGCTTTGTTTGTGGGCCCTCCTCCCCAGTCACTGGATAATATAATCAGTAATATTGTACAGTACAGAAATAAATGCAAATGAACCAGTTTTGTATAACTAGAATATTTTAATAACTGTGTGTGTATGTGTGCATTCGCGGGGTCCGAAAACTGGGAGCCCACTATACGTCTGGGGGTCTGTGGTACTTGCTGGACCCCACAAGTCTAAGGCTTGTTAAAGCTGTTTGAGGATTAAGACTTGGGTTAAGGGTTGGGTTTACAGTTAGGTTTAGGGTGAGGGTTGAGGATGGATAAGGTTAGGGTATATCACTGACAGGTCACAAACATAGCTGTATGTGTGCATGTGTGTTGGAGGCTACTTTAAATCTCTTTTCTTCTCTTCATGTTTTGCTTCCCCTCAGAGGTGTGAATGTACTGCCATTCCTGGAGATGATTGGTCTACCTGAGTCATTAGTTGGCCTTTTGAGAGACTCTTCGAGCGGCTACGCTCTGACTGCGTATGCCATGTACAAGGTAATTTAATCCAGGATCCTCTGGGTTTATTGTTTTCAAACATTTTGGGCCTGGGACACCTGATGAACCGCAAGTGTCTTTGCCAGTTTCAGACCGACACGGTTGTCATTTTCCCGACCAGCACCCAGGTTCTTTAAATAGCAAGTACACTTGTGCCGATCTGAGCACCCATGAGTGTGCTGGTCTTAAAATGAGGTGTGGTCAGGTGCCTTGCTATCTTCAGGCAGTGGAAAGAAATTTCGCCTGGTCTGAAGTTAATTGTCACTGCCTGGCTGTTAAAGCGAATGGCAGGTGGCACTCTGATTGGTTTATTGCACGTTAATGCCAAAACACACCCATGATTAATTAAGACTACAACCCCTGACCATTTTTTTTCTGTCATTATATTAGGATTTGGACACGCCCTAAATGCACTTGTGCCATGCGCTTTAGACCGTTAGAGTCGACCTTTAGAGCAGAGCCCTTTGGCTTCATTTCCTCATTTATCATTTTGTTAGTTTAAAGCACACTCACTGCCAGGTTTTTTGAATTTACGCAGCTTTGATTTGCTTGTGTCACTGCCTCAGTTTACATTTGAAAAAGCAGGTGCAGTATATCTACTGAGTGATTCGTGAGGGATGGATTCAGGAGTTCACTGCGCTCTACTGAGTGTCTTTTTCTTTGTTTTCTTACAGATTGCTACTCCTGCTAGATATACGGTAACTCTGGGCGGCACATCATTATCTGTTCAGTATCTCCGCAAGCACGGCTACTTATCCACACCGCCGCCAGTTAAAGACTACATCCAGGATAAAATGGAGGAGACAAAGGAGAAATTTACAGAAAAGATGGAGGAGACAAAGGGCAGATTTTCAGAGAAAATGGAGGAAACAAAAGAGCGCATCTCTGAGAAAATGGAAGAGACTAAGGACAAGTTTTCTGAGAAACTGCAGGAAACCAAAGACAGAGTCTCTGAGGGAAAATCGTTTTTTAGAAAGAAAAACGATTAGCAAATCACATTTACAGGTGGCGCCCCTGGATAAATAATCCTGTTTTAATCTTGACAAGTCATCATTGAATTGGGGGCAAGTAACAGACAGCACTTCAGAGACTGTTTGGAAAGAAGAGAGAGACGTTGCACTATCTTTGTCCTGAAATGTCACCTCACATCCTAGTTATCACCTGTTGTCTATTTAAGTGTCAGATTCAATCCCTCGTTGTCCAAACCCTGCCACCATCCACTGTAAGTGTAGACTAGACAGCAGCTTAGCAGACTGCTGCCAATGCTACATCCTGGCTCAGTCATCTCTGACTGGATTTACACAGGCTCAAGTGATCTGGACTTTAACTCTTTGTTGGCTGTTAAAAGAGGAGACTTCATACAGGAGACTTCATCCATATACATGGGGGGGGGTAGAGCTCCAGGCTTCATTTGCCTTTGTAAAAGCAGCATTAAAAGATGTATACAGTTAAAGACTGTATGGGAGAGAGCTGTACTAATGCATCTGGTTGCAACTTGAAGCTTATGGTTATGTGTACTATCAACGCCTTTCTGAAGACCGGGTCTCACCTTGTGTCTTTTCTAATGTAATGAGAAAGAAAAAAAGTTTTCTAATGTGTTTTTATCTGACAGCCAAAACTATTATGGAGGTACAGTGGTGTGGAGGCTTTATTTTGGTGTCTGTAACATTTAATGAAGTGACTGAAAGCTGTGTATGAAATGACAAAATCAGATGCAGTTTGGAGGCTGCAGTCAGTTTACATGTGATGAGTTATGTCAGTCTTACATGTAAATGGATACAGTGTAGTACATACAGTAGTCTGTATGAACAGAGGAAACTATTACACATGGACATAGTAAAGTGTTGACAGTGTACCACTTTGCCAGCTGAAATGTGTTTGGTACTTTGGTAAATAGACAAATGCTCTTGTCAGAATTTCAAACAGACGTGTGGTTCAACCCACAACTGAATAAAGTGAAATGCTAATCATCAAAGTTTGTGTGCCATGTTTGTAGGCCGTATGAGACAACTAAGACTACTTGTGATTGTACTTTCTGAAAGATGATCAGATGCTTATGGTAGATACATTTAAAGAACCCCCTCTGATGAAAACATGTTTTTAACCTTGTTAACATCCATACATGATATAATACAAGACTTGTTATGAGTAAAACAATCAGTGTTTCCACTTTGAACTGTAGTGAACCAATGACGGTTTCATACGTCACAAACCTCAGAAACCAATCCTGTCAACTTGTGGGGGCGGGGCTAAATAAACCAGAAACCTTGTCAGTACAGAGAGAAAGTTAGCATTAGCACAACCACCAACACTGTGTCAGCCACTGCCAGTTACAAGCTAACAAACTAACTACGCTAACCGCTCTGAACCGTCTGCTAGTCTCTGGTTCTGGTCTCAGACTCCTCCTCTGAGTCTGGGTCTGACTGAGGCTCAAACATGAGGCTGAGTCTCTCTGATGTTTCCTCCTCTAACCATCTTGATACTCTCTGCTCTTTCACCTGTCCACCTGGAGCCAGCAGGTGGTGGGCGGGGCATAAGGCCTGATCCACATTTCTCAATGAGGAAGTAAGAGGAGATGAGCTTAAGACCCAGGTTTTGACTTTTTTTAAATTTTTTTTTTACTTTTATGTGGGAAAATCATGTTAAACTAAATATTAATCCTAGCAGATTTTTTTAAGGTTATATTTTGGGGCATTTTTGTCTTTAATCAGACAGTACAGTGAGAGATAGACAGGAAATTCAGAAAGAGAGAGAGGGGATGACGTGCAGCAAAGGGCACCGGGTCGGACTCATAGCCACTGCAGTTAGGACTAAGCCTATGTGGCACGCGCTCTACCAGGTGAGCCACCTGGGCACCCTAGCAGATTATTAATATGTAGTTTAAAACATATCTGTAGAGAAACTTAAAGGTAGATGTTGTTTAATCAACAGTTCACAGTTTGCTGCAACTGAAAATGAGGTTGATAAGAGCGGTGAGCATGAACCAAAACAGTAAATCTGTGGGATGTAAAACCAAAGCAATGAGCTGCAAGAAATTATAGAACCAACAGTAACTGCACAGTTGGGTGATGATCACCGCAGGAAACAGCTTTTACATTACACACAATGATTTGATCCATTGTTGATAGAAAAACACTGATTTGTGCAGCGTTTAAGTACAGTCCTAAATGTCCTCAGCTGCAGCCCCTCTGCCTCTGTTTGAATGTGCGACTAAAAGGTCATCGTTAGCAGATACTTCACTTTCAGTTGTTGTTGGTGTTCAAGAAACTGCTCCACATGCTTTCACAATAGATTTTCAGCCATAGGTACACACCCCTCACTGGAGCTTGACACATAGTTCTCTCAGCTGTCAGTGTCCAGAAATGCAAAGCATAAGCATCATGCTGTCACACCTCCAACGTGCTCCAGCCTGCCTCCTTCATTATGAATCTTATTTATATGTAAATATGATGGCATTACTTGCTGCTGATGGGAAGTGTGTGCGAGTTACAATGACCTCTGCTGTCCAAACTAATGAACAACTGTTTATGCAGTCCACGGCCCCTGCACACAAACACCTGTCTGTTCTCTCACAGCGAGTATGACACAGAGGGCAGAGCAGCGGCGTGATTCCTGAAATCATTTTAGTGAAAAGACAATCTGTGTTCCTCAGGTGTGAGCGGCTGAACATGACTCAAGTGTCAAGATGTCTCTGGGAAGCCCGAGGTGAAGCGCAGGTCAGGAAGAAGAAAAACTGTCCAAACTGTCTGAAGTGATTTAGATTTTCTCCGCCTTACATCTTTTCTTGCAAAAGCTGACCGACTGTGTGTGCATTAGAAAGTTGTAGTTGAGAGTGTGAATGTCCTCCTTGATCTTTGCCTGGTTGTCCTTTTTAAGTTTAGTTTAGACTGATACTGCAGCATTTTAGAATTGCACTTCCATTAGTTAGCAGCAGAGGTCAAGATATCCTAGTTTTTCAACATTAATGCAAGTGAAGACCCACTTTCCACGATGGAGCTGAGTATCATCTTTCATAGGCTACAGTATATTTGGTTGTGTCTGCTTGCTGCGATAGCTTCTGAAATAAAATGTTAGTGGCATGTAAGGTGTCAGTTATGACATGAATTTACAGAGAGACGAGAGAACTGTGTTTGCGTGTAAAAGTCCTCTCTGAGATCTACTTGCCACAACACCCACATTGTTCATGTGGGTGTTGTCTCCAGCTTGTACACATGCTTGTCTCTCCACACATTTTAAACACTGTAAAAAAAAAAAACTCTGTTACGATTAATATTTAGTTTAACCTGGTTTTTACACATACATTTTTGGGCATTCAGAGACAGGAAAGTTAGGGAGAGAGAGAGGGGATGACATGCAGTAGAAGAACTCGGACTCAAAACCCAAGGGCCCTGTGATTAGGACTAAGCCTATGTGGTACGCGCTCCACCAGGTGAGCCACTGAGGCGCCCCCGAAGCACATCTACTCTTACTTCCATATTGGGAAATCTAGATCAGGCCTTGTGCAGGTGAAAGAGCAGAGAGCATCAAGATGGTTAGAGGAGGAAACATCAGAGAGACTCAGCCTCATGTTTGAGCCTCAGTCAGACCCAGACTCAAATGAGGAGTCTGAGACCACAACCAGAGACTAGCAGACGGATAGTGGTTGTGCTAATGCTAACTCTCCATCTCTGTGCTGACAAGGTTTCAGGTTTATTTAGCCCCGCCCCCCCTCCCCACAAATTGACAGGATTGGTTCCTGAGGTTTGTGACGTATGAAACCGTCATTGGTTCACTACAGTTCAAGTTGGAAACACTCAGTCATGGTGTGTGTATGTATTATATAAAGACATCATATGGATGTTAAAGTGGTTAAACACTTGATTTTCATTGGAGGGGTCTTTAATCCAAAACCAAATTGAGATTAACCTGATGACATCATCAGGGTTATTTTCCGAGACTTCATACAGCTGTTCTCTCAGATACTGATCCTCCTGTGATTAATTGGTATCAAACATCTTTAGCATGTATTGTTTGTTCCATGTAGAACAGGGACTTTACTATCTCAGAGGATTAGGTGTCTCCAGAAAAGAACCACCTTGGTTAAAGCTCACAAAGCGAGTATTTCCATCAAACCTGTTTCTAAACAGGAGTGAATGTGTAAGCGCGCTACTTCCTGATGAAATATGGAAGTGAAAAACTAGAAAGCTGTTTCCTCCTCCTCCTCCTCCTCTTCTCCTGTTTCCTGTCTGGTTGAAAAAGCCTGGCAGAGGTTCAGACTCTCAAGCTGCATCATGTCTCATCTCTGAACAAACTGCAGTTGATGTATGCATGATTTCCTCTGCATGGCCTCTCCAGTCTGCCACCTCTCCAGATGAATGTGTGTGTAGTCTGAGCAAAGTGAGTCAGAGGGGAATGTGAACAGTATCGGGACGGTTCTGCTTCTTGCAGCATTTAACAGCAGGAGGTTCACAGAAAGGACAGGAGGTGGGGGCCCACACTCCCTCTGCACTTGTAAGCGAGGCTAAGTGCTTTTAACATTAGCTTTGTTTCACTCCTGTGAATGGTATGACAAGTAACCAGATGGGGGTCTGTCTATAAATAAACTGCTGAAATATACAGATGAAGATATGCATGTCATTACTTTGTGGGGCAGAGTGAGTCATTTTCTCCTGCACAAAAAAACACTGACGGATGAAGAGGGAGATTTTTAATGTAACCCAGACCTGACCTTTACTGTGCTGCCCTGACAAAGGGAAAGATTCAGCAGATCTTGGGCAGATGATGGGGGTTAAAAGCTCATCTGAAGCTCACCAGAGACTCTACTTCCTCCGACATGAAAGAAGGGAGGTATTGAAGTCATTTCAAGGCTCTATCTTTTTTTTTTTATATATATATGGTCAACTTTTCCAGCAGCGTCGGCCAGGACAGTGACACAGCTGCCGGATGAACACTGCAGCAGCAGTCACCAGTTTCCATCTCTCTGATCCTCACAGCTGCCAGTGAGCTCTTTAAATGGCACAGTTTGATTTGGTAAAGGACTAAAGCCGCACTTTACACATTTTACATATAAAAATCATTTTTTTATATATTTTACTTAATTGGGAAGTTCCATTGAGATCAAGATCCTATTTACAAGTCAGACCTGAGTACAGAAAAATATAATAAATAACAAAAAGAAATATTAATAGCAGAAATACAAATTTTCAGCAATTTAAATAAACAATCAGATGTGTGTTCATACAAACAAGTGGACATGTGTTTATATAAACAACAATCAGAGATTTAAATGAATTTAAATATGCATTAAGATACACAACCAGGCAGACAATAGGATGAAGCTCATAACTGCAAGTTAGGAAAGAGATTAAGTAAAGAAATTACACCCCAAGTCAGAAAGACTTCTAACCAAATTTTTCAATTGGCCCATTGGTATCAGTGTGTCAAGTTTCGGTCTGTTCTCTAAATTATTCCACACAAATGGGGCGTGATATCTGAAGGCTGTCCTGCCAAGATTAGTATTCACTACTGGAACCTGTAAGGTCGGCCAGTCCTGAGAACGTGTATTAAAAGCTCAACGTCTTGGACACAGGAACGATGATAAATAAGGTGGTAATTTCTCGAGTAGTCCTTTATAATTTTGTGTTGATCTCACCTGAGAGCGAGAGAGGGAGAGAGAGAGAGGGCGAGCCCACCTTCTAGTACAAGACACAGTGATGGGTGCCGTATGGGTTGTTGGTGATAAAATAAGGGAGCTGTGTGATGAGCAGCATCCAGATGTTTAAGGTTGGAAATGGGAGCACGTCTGTAAATAACATCTCATACTTGAAAACAGTTGGTATAATGTCTCCAGTAGCTGTGGAGAAGAAGGTAACCTCTGAAGATGTCACCACAGTTATTCTTAAAGTATATTTTGCATGAAACAGAGTATTTCTACATTGTGGTATTGCTACATTCACTCGAATAAATCATCAATCCCACTAAGTCATCAATTGTAATACATTTTAAATTCTTTGGTGATCTTTTGAATTTTCCTTTAGCACCATCATTAGGTCAAAATTGAATTTATCCAATACTTTGATTTAATGCT